ATCAATACTTTAATTTTATCAACCAACTTGGCGAAAGAATTAAATTCACAATAGAGGTGGAGAAGGATAAACGGCTACCCTTTCTGGATATTGAAGCCATACGCTTCAAGTAAACACTCATGAGGAAACTATACAGAAGAATTCATATGCGGGAATAATCCTTAATTTTCAGTCCCATCATAACTACATAGTGAAGATCGGAATACTGAGGAGTTTGATGATTAGAAGCTTACGTCTAACGGACAATGAGTTCTGGGACGAGGAGTTGGACAAACTGACACGGATTTGCTTTGTAGCGTTTACCCCAGAGCATTTATATAAAAATGTGAAGATTATGAAGGTCCGATTTAAAAATTGGATTTTATGAAAATCAGATCAGGAATCAGGACGACAACCAAAAGTGGATTTGCTTGCCATCATCAAAATTGAGCCAAAAATTGCGACCGTTACTAAGGAAATGGAACTTCAGGGTGATAACAAAGGAGAAAAAAACGCTTTTAACCAGTCTGCCGTTGCAACACGAGAAGAATGACAAACTTGAATGTTCAAGAGTTTATCGCATCAAATGCGGAAACTGTGAGCAGAAGTACATAGGTAAAATAGGACGAAAAATCGGCCTGCGAATCAAGGAACATCAAAGACTCTGCAGGAACATGGATACACAAATATCAGAAATAGCGGAACACATTGCACGGACGGAACATGAAATCGACTCGAAATCGACCGATAGGTTGGCTGGATATGGTGAAAAAACGAGAAAACGCAAGATCCGAGAAGCTATTGATGTACTGACTGAGAGAAATTTAATGAACAGGAGACTTGAAGAAGGCAGGATCAGCAAAAACTTTGCATATTGTCTAAACAAACTAAGAGAAGACCAGGCAACAGGAAGATCAGCAAAAAGAAGACGACTGGAACAATATAATCTTAATTTTAGGAAAAGAGATCGCAAGGAGATGAGAAAGGAAGAATCAGAAGCCAAGAGGAGACGTCTTCAGTGAGCCTTATCAAAACAAGTAGAATCACGACATTTGTGGGTTAGCACACACGAGATTAGGACGTAGGAAGCGATGGACATGGTAATACAGATAGAAACAGGAAAGACTAATGCTATTTGGCTAACAATATACGTGTTTGATCTTAAACGTGATCCTTGAATCACAACTATTCTTAGCCAACTAGACCTAGCTTCCATTGTTTCTATCCTTTTTCTATTTATAATACCAAGTATATGACTTGTTATGCCCTAGTCTCTTGCGTGCCAACTCACAAACGTTGAGGTTCAACATTGAACCTAAACAAAGCCAGCAGTACCACAACATTTGTGGGTTGGGACACAAGCAACTAGGGCATGGCAAGTCATATACTTGGTATTAGGAATAGAGACAGGATAGACGAGGCGGC